GAAATTAGGAAGTTACATGGGGTGTGAAAGAATATTTAAGAGGTGGGGAATAATTTCACCCGAGCGTAGTAGTTTGAATTTTCCATATGAATGTAATTCTGATTGCACATGGACTAAAAAATTATAAAAGTATATTCAAATTTAAGACCTCTAATTGTATGGAATAGACTCATGGCCAACTTGTGTTTTTTTTCTTTCTTACTCATGGGTTGAACAAGAATTAAAGATCATTACTCAGGAAAGCGTTTGAGATGATTTTTAAAAAATGATTTTAGCACTAATGACTTCTCATTTTTATATTTATTACAACTATTACTGTCATCCCACCGCCGCCACTATCAATTACTACCCAACCATGACCGTTGTCGATACTACCACCCACACACACCACCACCATTGCTGCACAGCACCAACACGCATTATTGCAGCCCATTTTCACTAACCACTATTACCCACCATTGCCACCACCGCCGTCCATCACCCACTATCGTTGCCCACCACCTCCCACACCCATCACCACCATCACCACTATCTATCATTGTCTTTGCCAACCACCACCACCCATCACCACCGCCATCGTCTACAACCACCACTTAATTTTTAATATATGTTTTTTTTTTCTTTCTCATTGTCTAATTAATATCGCTACAAAATAAGAAATCAATCTGATGATCTACTTTTAGTGTTATACAAACTAATAGAAAAAAAGGTAACATTTATCAACTTTTCTTTGTTTGAATATACAGAAACATTTTCTACATTTTTTTTTCAGGTAAATGGTATTCCACTATTATCCATTGAATTTCAACTATGCTCAATTTAAAAAAAATATTCTGAAAAAATTCAGATTTTTTTGAAAAGTTCTCATGTTTGGCTTTTCCCCTCTCTTTCTAACTAGGAGAGTGGGAGGTGCCGAACCTCTTAGATCACCTGACTAATTCTTCTAAATACTGATACATGTTGTGCCCTACTTCATGCTCATTAGAAAAATTGCCACCATAAATTCCTTAAAGGTATACTCGAACTCAAGAATTCTAATTTTATAAATTAAACTTTTGGCTTATTCTTTATTTTTTTTATTTTTTGAACAACACTTTAGGCTTATTCAAAATGAATTAAATCTCCTATGTATGTTAAATATTTACCATTTTACCACTTTACTGGTAAAGATAAGAAACGAACTATTAAGTATTAACAAGACTTTTTTATTTTTATTGAAAAGTCGAATTTCAATTACTCCATAAACGAAATACCTAAAATACCCCCACATCACCGATCTATATAAAGTAGGGGTGTCAAACGTGTTGGATTAAACGGGTGACGGGTGAAAAATATATAAACTCGTACATGAAACGTTTAATAAACAGGTAAAAAATATCAACATGACCCGTTTAATAAATAGGTATCACGACACGACTTGTTTAATTTTAAAAAAAATATATTAACAAATTTTAATACTCTACTTTTTTTTATTGTCAATTATACTTATCTCAAAAAATAAGAATTTTTAGTCAAATCTCATAAAAATAAGACTTTAAGGTTTAAAAAAAAAAACAAGAGGCCATTACTTTTTATAGGCAATTCAGCCCTCCCCATCTCTTCTCATTTTTCAACGTGGAACAAAAACAAAAACATTAGTTTACCTTTGTCTTTGAAGTGATTTATCTCTTTTTTTTTGTCTTGAAACTACTACTTTACTTATTTTTTTTTTATTGATTTCTTTATTTCTTTTTTTTTTTCTTGCTAATTTTTTAAAATAATTATTAATTTATTATTATATTAATTTTATTTAAACGGGTAAACGTGTGATAAACGGCTTGACAGATCTCACCCGAACACGACCTGTTTATTAAACGTGTTTGACGTGTCAACCTATTTATCACCCAAACCAGTTAAGATCTCACCCCAATTCACTTAATTTGTGTCGATTAATCGTGTCGTGTCGAATTTTAACAACCTTAATATAAAAAGCCTTGCATTTCATAGTTTAAGCGCCCAATCTCTCTCTCTCTAGCAAGAAAGAAGCCTTCACGCTATTTGCAACGTTAAGTACCACATCAACTTATCTATCTTTCTCTCTCTGTGTGTACATACATATGTGTGTGTGTGTGTTTGCGTATCTACGTGTTTATGTTCTTGTTTAATTTTTCTGACTTTTCTTTGCTATTGCAAAGATCATCCATGGTTGAAGGTATGAATAATGATGCCGATTTCGCTGAGCAAGAGGGGATTGAAAAGAGGAGGAAAACAAGAAACTAATGGCTGCGATTGAACGATTCAACAGCGATCAAGAATCCTTCAAGAAGAAGCTGAGTGAGTTCGATGACGATTGCAAAATTGTGGATCTTGAGGTTGAAGAAATCGAGAAGAAAATGACCGGAATGTTGAACGAAAGCAAAACGGGAGATGATGTCGAGAAGCAGTTGAATGATGATCTTGAAAATTCTGAGAATGCTAAAGATTTGTTTTTGATTTCCTTTTTGGTAGGAACAATCATGAAAGCTGAATACACAGATCCAGGGTGCAACGACAAAGTTGAAGCTGAAAATCCAGCCAAATTTTTAGGACCCAGTCCTCTTGCTCAACGAATAGACCGAAAAATGTATAAATATAAAGTAGCTTACAATTTAAATTTTAAAAGATAAACAAAATGATTTTTATTTTTTGCGGTTCAAATCACTTTAAATTTTAGTTTAAAGTTAATTTAACGGTTAATATTAACACCATAAATTTAATAGGAAAAATTGACCTTTAAGGATGTGTTTGGAGTGATTTTTAAAAGTATTACTACGAATTATTTTTCATAAGTACTTTAAAAAAAATAGTGTTTGAAAACCGCCACACCACTACATCTACCACCACTACCTCCACTGCTGTCGCCACCACCACCGCCGCCACCACCAACGCCACCCCCACCACTACCAGCAGCACCACCACCACCACCATCACTAGCACCACAACCATCGCGACCGTTGACACTGTCGACATCCGCATCGCCGTCGCCACCACCCCCGCCTCGGCCACCGCCACCACTCCCGCCTCTGCCACCGCCACCACCACCAACACCACCACAGTCATTGCCACCCACCACAACCATCGCCCGTATACTACCACCACCACTACTGCCCACAACCTCTCACCCTACTATAAAACGATGCTTAAATTCATTTATTTCTCCTCTATGTTTGTGATTTGATTTTGAATATGAATACAAATATGTTTTTTGTTTATCATTTTTTATTCTTCTGTGCCTTCAAGTACAAACAATAACTAGTGTATAAATACAAAAGATCAACTAGAGGAATCAAATTATGTAATGATGATGATGATCAATCCAACGATGTTATTCAATATGATTTTGAGACAAACATTGAAGAACTTGAATTGGATCACCTGATTGAGGTTCGGACTCGGGTCACTGGCATGATGGAAGAGGTCGTAGCAAAGTTTCAGCAGTTGAAATTAGAACTTGCAGAGCTCGACCAAAGTATTTTTGAGGCACAAACGAATCTTGATCTTGCGAATATCAGTACCAATGCTCTACTAACCGGTGATACTGCACTAGAAGATGTGGATGAGAAGTTGAAAGATCAATCCAACAATGTTACTCAATCTGATTTTCAAACAAACATTGCAGGACCGGAAGAAGAGTCGTACAAATTAACAAGAAAACTTGAAGAAAATGTAGAGAGGAAAACATTAGATCGATCTAAGGATAGCATTGATTGTGATCATTTTACTGATACTAAGGAACCGGAATTTGAGAAAAGCCTAGAGGAATTCAAGGGGAAAGAAGAGAATGTGATGAAAAAGGAGTTAGATGAGAAGCAAAAGAAAAACAATATTCAATATTCAATCGGATCGAGAATCCGAGGCCATAGACCTGAATCACCTGATTGAGCGTCAGACTCGGCTCACAGGCAAGATGGAAGAGGTCCTAGCAAAGTTTCAACAGTTGAAATTTGAACTTGCAAAGCTCGAGCAAAGAATTTTTGAGGCGCAACTAAAGATTCTTGATCTTGCGAAAATCAGTAACAAGAACTAGCTGATCAGAAACTAAGAGACGAAATTGAGTCAGATATAGAAAGCAGAATGTAGAACACCACAGAAAAAATGGAATCAAGACTGAATAAGCAGATTGGGGGCGGAGCAGAGGATTCGAAGAAGACGACCGAGGAAGATGATTTGAAGCAGATCTGGTCCACCATTCATGGGGTTACTGGAGATTTGGCAGAAGTAAGTGCTCTGTTCTGCATCATACAGAAGACAAACAAAGCTTGAACTGGTTAGATAGTTTAGATTGCATTACTCAATTTTGAAGTATATGATCTCTTAATTGTTTTGGACTATTCTTTGATTAGTGATATTTTAGCTACTACATACATACATGTATATGCTGAAGTGTAGATATAGATCAAGAATCTCTCATTTCCTGATCATAATAGAGAATGACTTTTAGCTTTCCCCATATTGTTTCTGTAAAGGCCGTTTTTAGGATAGACGACTAGGGGAATCGAATATTTAAATTTTATCTGCGTTCTTCTCAATTATCTCACAAATCACTTTTTAGCATTGAATGAAGTTGACTGTTAATGAAATGTTATATCGCACCCATCAGGTATCCAATTAGATATTTTTTATGATAGAAAATATTTCATGTTTTTTGTAGAAAATTCTTTGAACAAACTTCGCTGCAGCACAGCCACTGCTACAGCCGACCACCGCCACTGCCACCGCTATATCCAGGTATTCCCCCCCCCCCCCCCCCCAACCCTTCTTTAAAATGTGAAGTGATTGTATCTTCGTTCAAGATTCACCATCAATCCCGATTTATCTTTGTTCGAGATTTATGGCCATGAGGAGGCTTAATAAATCAGCTGGGAATCTTGAAATTATGGGTGCTCCACTCACAGGGACAGATCTGAGAGCTTATGTAATGTCTGGAGGTGGTGTTACTTTGAAGAAATTTAAGCCAGGGCTTCGGGGCAAACGATGTTTTCTTATCTTCCCAATTCATGGTTCTGAGAGAAAAGGCTTAGTAAGCGTTGAAGTCAAGAATAAGAAAGCCCGGGTTTGCTTTGATACTTGCTGCCAATATTTTTCCATATTATGAAGCAAGAAATATTTCTGTGATTGAGTAATTCGCCTCTCTGTGTTCATTTTTCTTCCTGCCTGAACCTCCTCATGTGAGTTGTAACATTTCTAGGAAGTGTGTTGAAGTTCCACAAAACTATGGCCTATATGTTTTCTTGAAGTATATAAGATATATGTTTGATGGGACACTTCTAGAACGCAACAAATGACGACACGTGTTCTCGGTACCGATGAAACATCTCTGCTATGGTCTTAACACATGTCATTGACATCCTTAGCGCCTCCCGCCAAGGAATAATTCTCGGGGCCGAGGGACTCCGAGGCGGCATGGATGACACATATCCCTTGGCTCAGAATGATGATATTGGTCCCGATGTGTGTATGTTTCCTCGGCGCTGTGGTGTATCTATTGGAATGTGGACTTTTTCACTCCTACAAGAGCCGGTGATGATTAGCATAGGCTAGACTAGCCATCATAACAACGTTCTATTCAATGGTGTCAGGAGGCACAAGAATGCAGAAGATTCAACCAAGGAGAAATAGACACATGACATGAGGTGTCAGATCAAAGACAAAAAAATCAGAATGCCCCTACTGACACATGACTTGATCAAACAAATATTTAATGATGAGACAACATTTAAGGCATGGGGGCTGAGAAGTGAAAGACATTAAATGCTCTCATGCCTGGGCATTTAATACTCCCTCGCCTAGGAAAGGGCATTGAATACTCTGCAGGCCGAGGGGAAAACGTTAATTGCTCGGCGTCCCGAACCTGAATGCATTCCCCACTAAAGGAAAGGGGGCACACTGCCCCATCTCTAATGATTGCCTACTAGCTATATTATCAGCAATGATAAACTTTTGAAGGTATAAATAGTCCTCAAAAATATATTGTAAAGGTACGCAAGAACTTCTGAAAAGAACTATAGTGCTTTCTTCTTCCTCTCTCTCAATGAACTGACTTGAGCATCGGAGAAGATACGCCGAAGAGCACTCCGGTACCCTTCTAACCTGTTTTTCTGTATTACAAGATCCCCTATAGTCTTCCAGGACCGGTGAGGCGACCCAACAAACAATTCATTACTAGTTCTTAGGGTTCCTTTGTCCCTCTCAACCTATTTCTTATTGTTAAAACCTACTTTCGGATGGGTTGAAACTCTACTAGAGACAATCAGAGATTCTGAAAATAAATCTTCTGTTTTGTCAGAATTACTGTCTTATCGAATCACAGTTTATCGTGGAAGAGAGTTATTTCTACTTTTACTGTTATGTGAAATCAGTACGCACAATGTTCATACTGGTACAGTCTTTTCTTTCAACTTATCTCCATGAGACGTACAGATAGCACAGGTCAGCCCCCAAAACACATATGAACAAATAAAAAACAAGAGGGTGAGTGAGCACCGGAACCTGAAATTTTATACAAGTGGGAGTGCTACTAGAGCATAATTTAAACAGCAAACGTAAACATACTGTTATTTTTTTTTTGGTTTAGGAGTCAAAAAGGTATGTATGGGAGAGGCGTGATATAGATTGAACACCATAAACACACACATGCTAACTCCAATACACCCATTTGATCATGTGAGAAAGTAGTCAAATGGAAGGGAGTTGGGGGAGTTCTTCATTATCTTTGGGGACTGAAATCTATTTTCCAGACCTCGAAAGGAGACCACGTAGCATTAGTTAAGGAAGACACAGGAGCTGTGTTGGTGAAGACACAAGAACTGTGTTGCCCAAATTCTGTTTTGTTTTAGTTAAGGAAGACACTTGAGCTGTGTTGCCCAAATTCTATTTTGTTATAGTTTTGTGATTCATTTTCATATATCTATAGTTGATAATTGCTTCCAAGTTCATGCAATTAATTGGTTTTCTGGCAGAATAAGCATTTGCAATTCTTGATGGACTTCTTTATATAGTTAGAGACAACCAATTTGAGGATTCTGCTTTGGGATTGCAATTCTATTGTGTTGATTTTTGTTGTGATCTTCCGGGCATTTGTTGCAGTGGCAGTTGAGTTTTTGAAATTGTGATCTTCTTGCTTTAAACTCCTTGAAACTGAGTTTTTGAGTATGCTCACAGTTTTGTTAGTTTTCCTTTTCTGGCTTGCTCGCAAGATGTTTGAAAAAATGACTGACAGGGTTTGGTTTTTTGGTTTTATGTGGGTAATGGGTTGTATGATTTTTGCATAATTCCTTCCTTGGATTTTGATTGTTTTTTTAGACTAATTTATAATTGAGCACATTATTGTAAACTCCTTTTGGTTCAATAACATTTTAACTATTGTTGTTGTTCAATACTTAATTCTATTTGTTGGTTTTTTATACCTACTTTTTTTTGTCCGTTGTGTTATTACTTCACAAACATCCATTTTTATTCTTACTTCTTAGCACCAATGTCCATTTGTTGATTATTTCGTGTTCAAATTCAATGTTCGATTTTTTTAGATGCACTGTGCCGTCAGCCACGGGTTATCCCTAATATATATATATATATATCTTATGATTTTGATATTTCTATTCTTCTTTTGGAATATCAATAAATCTTTCTACGAGAATATAACAATTGACCATGGATTTTTTTTTGGTCATAATTGACCATGGACTTAATATTTTTGTGTATTAAGTGCACTGTGCACCTAATGTTTTCCCACCTAACTACCAAAGTTTTTCAATGGTCTAACTTTTTTTCAAAGGAAAGAAGGAAGGGTTTCAAATTTAATAGTCCAACTTTTTTTCAAATGAAGGAAAGGCGGGTTAAGCGGGTGGGTTTGGGGGCCGTGTTTTTTGAGGACAGACTGTTGAGCCGAGTTTCGGGTCGGATAATTGTTTTGGGGGTAAACTTCAAGTCCTTTTTTGAAAGATATTGGGTTCAAACGGGCCAACTATCAAACCTATCGTGTTTCGAGCCAAATAATGAGACACATGGACAATCCAACCTATGAACACCCCTAATCGCTTATAGCAGCATCTAGAAGAAGTATGCACATGAGATCCACCATTTACTAGTGACCCCTACCCATATACCGTGGATGATTTTCCATTTAATTGAATACAAAATGTAATATAGAGGATCCCAGTCTATTTTTTTCTATGAAGAAAAGTGATATACCTAGACAGTCAAAAGAGAATCAGTTGATGTCTCTAATAATATGAATGTGTTATTATTGATTTTCCATGGCCATTTAAGGAAGTTGAATTAATTATGCACTTATTTCCACCTCCTTCTTTGTTACGGTCGAACATCAATTAAGTATTGGATTGAATGTGAATATAACTTTTGAAAATTCTTCCTTTTCAACTCGATTTTTAAAGGTGAATTCTATGCACCGGTTCATATCATTTGATATAAAGTCTGTCACCATGTCGAGTATAAAATTATAAGTATTATGGGCAGTCGCACCATTGTGAAATCCATTATCATCCATTGAATCATTGTCAATAAAGTGGATCATCTTAAGTGTCAACTATAAATGTGGTGTGGTATGTGTCAGCATGGATGAATTCTAGTAATTATTTGAGATAGCAACACCAGGTTGAGCTTTGCTGAGATTCCTAAAAGAAGGAATGAAGATAGAAAGGGAGCCGATGGTGTACTCAGCTAACCCCTCCAATGATTAAGCCAGTTGGCGCTCAAGATTAACAAGATAAGTGTACAATACAAAGTTAGTTTAGTATTTATATCTGTTATTCTGTTTTAATGGGATATTTATACATTCAAATGGATGAAGTGACAACCACTCGAGTATTCAAAGCCTAGACCAAGTAACCTGTGCTCGAAATCCGTCCCAAGAAGCTATCGCATCATATTTTCTCATTGAGCCGCATAGTAAGTGCTATATCATTCCTTACTAATGCTTGAAAACGGGGCACAATCATGATCTTATTACTTGGAAGACCGAGCATTCATGACATACCGCCCCTTAATTATCAAGTCATCCCCAATATCAAGTACTTGACGCAGAATAATCACGGCTTGGACTCGAGCACTTATGACTCTGTGTCGAGCATTCAATTTGATGTCTCTAAGCACTATTCAATCAACAAGGTTGTGCATTTATTTTTCCGACGGTTTAAGACAAATTCTGAATTGATGTGATAGAGTTATGATTATTTGTCATATCAACACTCGGTCTATGGTGTGGTTTCTCAACGGTAATCAATCCTTGAGATCAACCATCCACATCTTTGCTCTCTTGTGGAACTTATTCACTCGGTCTTGATATCAGTTGCCCAATCTCGACTGATGAGAGGTGGAAGCTCGGGGGACACACGTGCCACTTATATCGTGCCATGTGTTGTCTCATGAGTGGTGAACTACCCACGAGGCATTAGTAACAATCCCAAGTTGATGATGTGTGAATTTGGCTGTGAAAATAACACTAAGAATTTGATTTTGAGAGTAATATTGGGTGTCATTGTATTTTCTTAGTCATTTGTGTGACCAATTGAATGACGAGACATATATAGTTATTTCTTTTAACTATATCACTGAAAAATCATCGCTCTAAAATTAGAAATTAATCACTTTTCATCAATGGTTCTTTGTTTTTTGGTTTGGATTTACAACAAATGCATTTTTTTATATGCGTTGAATCTAAACCACTGCTGGAACTTGGGAAAAACAATTCAGAAAAACTTGAGTTTTGTTCAAAAATATTTGTTTTCCTTTTTCTTTTTTAAATTGAAAGTATCGAATTCTTTAGATTACCTAAACTAAATCTCCATATGAATGTAATCCCGGTTTCACATGAACTAAAAAATTATGAGAGTAGATTCAAGTTTAAGACTTTTGACTTATTCAAAATGCATTAAATCTTTTATGTGTGTTAGATATTTACCATTTTACCACTTTGTCGGTAAAGATAAGAAACGAACTACTAGCAAGACTTTTCTCATCGAACGGTAGAATTTCGGTTAGTCCATAAATGAAATACCTAAAATACCCCCACCATCCCCGGTATATATAAAGCATTGCATTTCATAGTCTTAGCGTCAAACCTCTCTTTCTCTCGATAACAAAGTCTTCACGCTCTCTGCAACGTCAAGTACCACATCAACGTATCTCTTTCTCTATCTGTGTACATATATATATCTCTGTGTGTATGTGTGTGCGTTTCTTGCTTAATTTCTCTGACTTTTCTTTGCTATTGCGAGATCATCCATGGCGCTAGGTTCGAATAATGATGCCGATTTCGCTGAGCAAGATAGGATTGAAAAGAACAAAGAGGAAAACGACATCCTAACGGCTGCGATTGAACGATTCGACAGCGATGAAGAAGCAGAATGAGGAGCCCAGTGAGTTCGATGACGATTGGACGAAGAATTTGGATCAGTTACGGCTGAAGTTCGGTTTTCTATTCGAATCGTCAGTGTTGATTCCTTTTTTGCTTTGGTGTTCTGCATTCTGCTTTCTATATCTGAGTCAATTTCGTCTTAGTTCTTGATCTACTGGTTCTTTCAGTAGATCACTGATACTGACCTGCGCACGAACAAGAATCTCCAGTTGCACCTCAAAAGTACTTGGCTGTTGTGCTGCAAGTTCTAATATAAGCTGCAGATACTTTGCTTCGACCATTTCTTTCTTGCCCGTGACCCGAGTTTGAAGCTAGTGATTGAGCTCCAATGCCACAGATTCTCGATCCGATTTAAGGAGACATTGCAGAACTGAAGGAACAGTTGTACAAATTAAGGAGAGAACTTAAATCGGATCAAGAATCTGTGGCCTTGGAGCTGAATCACCAGATTGAGCTTCAGACACGGGTCACGGGCAATAAGAAAATGGTCAAAGCAAAGTATCTGCAGCTTATATTAGAACTTGCAGCGCAACAGTTGAGTACTTTTGATGCGCAGCTGGAGATTTTTGATCGTGCGCAGGTCAGTATCAGTGATCTACTGAAAGAACCAGTAGATCAGGAACTAAGAGACGAAACTGACTCAGATATAGAAATCAGAATGCAGAACACCAAAGCAAAAAAAGAATCAACACTGAGTTATCAGATTGGGGGCGGAGCAGAGGATTCAAAGAAGACGACTGAGAAAGATGAATTGAAGCTGATACGGTCCACCATTGCTGGGGTTACTGGAGATTTTTCAGCAGTAGGGAGACAAACAAGGCCTGAACTGGGTTACAAAGTTTAGAATGCATTATGAAGTATATGATGTTCTCTTAGTTGTTTTGACAACTGTTTTGGACTATTCTTTTGATTAGTGATATTTTAGCTACTGCATACATGCATATCCTGAAGTGTAGATATAGATATAGATGAAAGATCACAATGTAAATAGACAAACCATGCATCTCTTATTTCCTGATCATAACAGACAATGATGTTTAGCTTTCCCCATATTCTCTTATGTCTGATAACTAAAGTCATGCACAGATTTGCTGATCTATATGAATTTTTAGATCAACACACCAATTAAATATTTTTTTGTAAAGCTCATAAAAATACCAAAATACCCTTACTATTTTATTCTATTTTCATTTAAATGTCCTCTCTTTCTCTCTCATGGCAACCAATAATATTGACAATTAGTAATGAACACGTGCCTAAAGCACTATATAAAACAGAAAAAACATTAATTACAAAAATGAGGATCCATTTAAAAATATATAGATAAGTAATTGTTCTTCGCTGGTGCTCATCTAGAGAAATTGGTAGATATATATTCAATTTTTTGGACCCAAGATTTTTTTTTAAAAAAATTGAGCAAATTCTCCACTTAAAACATGATCCGATTGAAAAAAAAAATAAAAATCAACCAATTAGATTTTAGGTATGCACCTCTATTTGCATAAAATCTATAAGCAAATAAATTATTATTATTATTTTTTTTGGTAAGGAAAACGATAATCATTTCATTAATCCAAATGCATTACACTTTGATGGAGGAGGGATAACAAGAACAAGGGGATCTCCTCCTCCTTCCATAGAATTGGAACATTACAATTTATCGCAAATTTAGCTAGGCAATTAGCAACGTTTTTTTCATGTCTGCAAGTACACGAAGTTGATAAAGAAAAAAACTGAGTCTCAAAATCTTGAATTTGCTCCACAAAGTTGCCTATCTCTGATAAATCCATTTGCTTATTCTCAATAACATCTATTACCACCTTAGAATTACCTTTAACTATAATCTATATAATAAATTAGTTAGATTCTTTGTCTTGATCTTTTCGCTGCTTAAATTGTTTGAGAATTATTGATCCGACGATCTTAATTGCACTTTCTTTTTTTTTACGACTCTAAGACTCTTATCTCTCGTATATATCTCTATCATACACCCAACTCTATCTATATCTCACATTTATATTTATATTTATACTACTAATAAAAGTACCTTACATGAAAATTTTTTGATTTATTATTTTACCCTCGTAAAAAATTGAAAAGACTATTTTATTTTTTCACACTTAATATTTAAATTATTATCAAATTCTTATGTATTTCAATCTTTAAATTAAATCTAAGATCACTTTCAATTATATATTTTTTATGTATAAATATAAATTTTTATGAAACTTTTGGCTTGACTATATTACTCTTAAAAAATATATGCATCATTATAAGTTTTAATAATATATTCAAATTTTTTTTTAAAAACTCCATCAATATAATATTACTCATCTAATTTATAAAGATAACATTATGATTGTATATGTATATTTTATTTTTCATCAAAATGTTTAACCTTTTAATTTTTAAAATAAAAAATAATGTATATATCACAAAATTTTTTTCAAACTGTGTTAAGATTTTATGTGAAAATAGATTGTAGTATATTTTTAAGGAAAACTGAATTTTTTTTAAAATTTTTATATGCGTTATTATATATTATAGCATATTATATTCAATCTCATCTCAATTGATCTAACTAATTTTAAATACAATAAGATTCCAATATAATTGGTATATTGAAAATTATTTGTGTTTTATTCAATGATTTATAAATATAATCTTAATCAAATTAATTTAAAAAAATTTAATTTTCAAACATCACTAAAATATCACTTTCAATTAAAAAAATATAGAAAAAAAATTAGAACTTTAATTATTTTTTTTATCCTTTTTCTTGAAGTTAGAACAACAAAACTTAGGAACATACATAGTTTTCAAAAATTCTATAATTGAGTATGAGCGGTACAGAAATAAGTTTGATAAATTTAAGATGATATTTAATTTATGTACACATATACCAAATATTTATTTATTAATTTTTGTCTAAAAAATTATTTACGTGCAACGCACATAGTGCATTGCTAGTTTCTTTCAATCTCTTAAACGTTTCAAACACACTTTTCCAAACACACGTTCTCTCATCTCTCATATAACTCTCTTTTTTCCTCTCTCATGAACCCTCTCTATCTCTCTATCTCATTCATTCACTTTTGTGAGTGAATATTATGTGTTAAATTTGTATTATGTGTGTTTTTATTTTCATTGCTTCTTTATTCGAAATTTGTAGCTTTGACATGATTTTATTATTGTTAAATGTTATGTGTTAAATGTACTATTGCTATTTTTGGTATTTCTTTACTCATACAATTGTACGATTTTATAGATGAGAAAATATTTAATTGTTAAAAAAAATTCACACATTCAAAACCAAATTAATCACCAGTAAAAAAAAAATTAACGAAACCAAATATTTGAGTAATTTTATAAAATGAGAAAATATTTGAATGCTAAAAAAAAATTTCCTAGGTTGTAGACATTCAAACCAAGCTAAGCTGATCACCAATAAAAAAAAAACAAGTGAAACCAATTCCACAAAAAAAAAAAAAAAAAATTAAAGTCAAGCTAATCAACAATAAAAAAAATAATAAATGATACCAATTGCACCAAAAATAAATAAATAAATCAAAGTGATAAGTTAAGCTAATCATCAATAAAAAAATAACAACTGATTGAGTTTATAATTATGTTGTGTTATTAGGTTGAATGGTGACAATGGTAATAAATTCATATATCTTATAAATGAACAAGATTTAATTTATTGCTTAAAAATTGTAAATTTTATTAGATTTCGTTAGTATTTTTTTTTCAAGGTATTTGTATATATGATGTTATTTTAGAGAGTTTTTTTTATATATTTTTGTGATAGTTTTATTAATATAGATGATATAATTGATAATATATTTTGGACCTTTTTAAAAGAATTGATATGAATATTTTTGGATCATTTTTTTTTTAAGTTAGACAATTAATTTTTTATGTGCTACATAGTGAGCAGACAATGACTAGTCAACCTTTAAATTACACTTTTGGCTTATTAATCGAACGGTAGAATTTCAGTTAGTCCATAAAGGAAATGCCTGAAATACCCCCACCATCACTGGTCTATATAAAGCCTTGCATTTCATAGTTTAAGCGCCAAACCTCTCTCTCTCTCTCCCTCTCCCACTCGGCCTCTCCATCTCCATCTCCCTCTCTCTCTAGCAAGAACGAAGCCTTCACGCTCTCTGCAACGTCAAGCACCACATCAACGTATCTCTCTTTCTCTCTCTGTGTATATATATATATGTGTGTGTGTGTGTGTGTGTGTGCGTATCTACGTGTATATGTTCTTGCTTAATTTCTGACTTTTCTTTGATATTGCAAGATTATCCATGGCGGACGGTACAATTAATGATGCCGATTTCGCTGAGCAAGATAGGAGTGAAAAGAACAAGGAGGAAAACGAGAAACTAATGGCTGCGATTGAACACTTCGACAGAGATCAAGAAGCCTTCAATGAGTCGTCAAGTAAGTTCGATGACGATCGCAAAAATGTGGATCATCTTGAGGTTGAAGAAACCGAGAAGAAAATGACCGGAATGTTGAAAGAAAGCAAAACGGCAGATGATGTCGAGAAGCACTTGAATCAGTTGCAGCTGAAGTTCGATCTCCAATTAGGCATAACTAGCATTATTGATAGAAAACATTTGTTTCTTAATTGACAGAATATTTGTTGTTGGGAATGATTCCAGTAAAAGGGATACTTGGCTTTGAATTAGCATATGATATACTTGGTTTTGGTTTCTGAAAGTACACTATTTTTCCAATAATAGTATAATTCCATTTGGATAAACTGGGCATTTTTTTGGTTCCTCAACTTGTATTAAGTTTCAATTTATTTTTATATGGTCCAATCCAAATACTAACTTTCATCTGAATTATTAATGTGTTTTTTAATGATAAGTGTCTATATTCATAAGTTATTTGGACAGAATTTAGTCATTCGACAATCTCAAAACAAATTAAGAATAGTAAATATCAAAATGGCAAAATTAAAAGTTGAGGAACAATTGCGAGATTAATTGCATATTTGAGTGATCACCCAAGCATTATACCCATATTCTTTTAGCAAAATCCCATGGTTTTTTTTTATTGCTTTTCAGAATATCGATGAATAATGTACTATATTATAATACTAGTTATTGTTTAAACCTAAAGACACAGAGTAATAAAAAAAATGATAAACGGTAAATATATTTATATTCACACTTAAAATTAAATCACAAATATAGAGGAAAAATAAAGTAATTTAAGCACTGATTGTAATGGGAGTGAGCGGTGGTAGTGGTGGTGGGGTGTCGACGATGGCGATGGTGGTGATAGTGGTGATGGTTGTGGGGGTGGTGGTGGGGTAGTAGGGGTAGTGGTGGTAGGGATGATGGTAGGACAATGACGGCGATGGAAGGGTAGAGGTGATGGTGGGGGTAGTGGGGATGGTGGCGGTGGGGGCGGTATGGATGGTGGTGGTGGTGGTGGTGATGTGATGGTGGTGATGGTTGTTGTTGTGGAAAAGGGGTGGCGATGGCAGTGGTAATGGTGATGGTGGGGTGATTGGAAATTTTTTTTTTTTTTTTAAATACTTATGAGAAGTTATAAGTTCTAGAAACACTTTTAAAAAGTTATCTCAAACACACCCTTAGGGGTCTCTTTTTCTTATTAAATTTGGAATGCTAATATTAACCATCGGATTAACTTTAAAGTAAAATTTAAAGTGATCTCAACCACGAAAATTTTAGAACACACTCCTCTTGCTCAATACGACGATGTTACTCGATCTGATTTTCACACAAACATTGAAGAACTTGAATTGAACCGCCTGATTAAGATTTAGACTTAGGCCACAGAAACGATCAATAATGTCATAAGAAAATTTTTGGATTTGCAATTACAACTAGGGATGACAATGGACCGGAAAAAATCGGGTATTTGTCCAAACCCGCCCTGTTTAGACTGAGGATAGATTATACATATTAGACGGTGGATGTATATAGGGATACCCATATAAACTCGTATGGGGGATGAAGACAGGGATGAACCGCCCCTTACCCCTGCCCCAACCCTCGCCCCGGTCCCCGATTACCCGTTATATATATAAATATATATATATTGTAAAATAAGTTAGCAAGAAGTCATCCCATATTGTAGGACTAACACTTCTACAGTGCATCTTGGCTGAAAAATAAATGATAAAGAGGATAATGTAAAATCAGTGGGCAAGAAGTCATCCCATATGGTGGTTCCAACTTCCAAGTAGCACTTTAATTGAAAAAAGACTACAAAGAGATTACTTTGTAGTTTATTAAATATCTTGCATAGTAATGGTGATAATTAATATGAAATAACTAGACAGTTAAAGTCCCTTAATTGCTGACTTGATTAAGATTGCTTGCTATGCAATTGATGAACTGATAAAGAATTTTCTTATGGATTAAGATTCCAGTTAGGAGAAGGTTGTAACATGAACAATTGGTGGCCCTGATGGCCCTTTAATAAATTATATTATGCTTTAATAAACATTGAAGTAACAACAGGGTTTTAGCTCAATGGCCAGAACTGGTAGCTCAACGGAGATTAGTCCAATTTGTTACATAATTAGTCCAATTTGGTAACTAAATGTAGCTTAGACTTGGGCTTGGGCGGGTACGGGGGAAGCGAGGATGGAGATGGGATTAAAAATTTACCTGCGGACGGGGATGAGAATGAAAATTATTCTCGTTAACAGGGGTGGACCAGGGATGGACAGAGTATTTTTAAGCGGGTACGGGGATGAAGACTACACCCCCGCCCCCGCTTCGATCCATTGACATCTCTAATTACAACATGTAGAGTTCAACCAGAGTATTGATAAGGTACAAAAGATTCTTGATCTTGAGAAGATTAGTACCAATGCTTTACTGACCGATGACACTAAACCAGAAGATGTGGACCTGCGTCAGACTAGGGTCAAGGGCAACATTGAAGAGACCGTAGCATCGTTTGGGAAGTTGGAACTAGAACTTCTAGAGTTCCGTCAGATTCTTTTGAGGACGCAACTAAAGGTTCTTGATCTTGGGAATGTGAAGAAAGACAAATTCCAAATTCTGAAAATTGCTTTCTTAGAATAGTGAAAAAATAAATTTCTACTAGTCTAAGACTCACAATTGAAGTTGAAGAAGAACGAAGAAATTAAAATATAGTTTCAAAAATGAGGGAAGAATATGACTTTTATTATTATTGAGAAATCTAAGTTACAAGCTTACAATCAAAAGCTTACAAAAGAGAAAGCTTGCAATAGTAGTTGTTGTTGGTGATTTGTGTTTTTTATTGGCTTGGTGATTTGGGGGTCTATTTATAGATGACAAGAGAAGGGTCTAAAAGCTAAAGATAGGTGGAGGTTTGGAAGGTTTAAGAATTCTAACTTAGTGGTGAGTTCTACCAAGTGAAAATTCTAGATGTTGGCAGAAGGCTCAAGAAGATACCAAGTGCAAGTATGTTCTACAAGGTTCTAGATACATTAATCCTCACTACATCTCTCAAAAATAAATCTATACTACTAATAAAAGTACCTTAGATGAAAATTTTTTGAATCTCTATTTTACCCTTATAAAAGATTGTAAAAATCACTCTATCCTTTCACAATTAAATATCTAAATTACTATCATATCCTTATATATTTAAATCTCTAAAATAACTATAACATCTCTTTTAATTATTTATTCTTTATGTATAAATATTTATTTTTTGATTAACTATATTACTCTTAAAAAAATATGCATCATTATATTTTCAATAAATTGTTCAAAAAAACTTCAAAAACTCCATTTTTCTAATATTACTCATCTTATATATATATATATATATATATATATATATATATATATATATTCATCGAAAAGTTGAACCCTTTCATTTTTAAGATAAAAAATAATTATATATATAATTTCTTAAAATCAATTTATGTTATATCAATATAATTCTTCAGTCACAATAAATTTTAAGATAAATTACACTGACACTCATGTAAATTGGTCTAATTACAGGGACACCCTCAATTTTATGAAATTATATTGATACCCCATGTCAAGTCTTTTCCCTTAACAAATATAAAAAAAATGTAATTTTTCATAATTATCCTTACCATACATATATCATTTTTTACTTATCATCCTTTCATATATTTAAATATTAATAAATAGGTCATTTTTGGATTCAACCTGTCAAGCTTGAAATTGACACAATCAACCTGTTTTATTTAATCATGTCAAATTTTCTCTATTTTTCCGTTTGTATATTAACACGAATAACACGGAATTGCAATGATCCATATGTTTAATTGATACTATAAAAATAAGATATTAATTATTTGTGGCTATTTATTAAGCACTAACATAATTATTGTATAAAAAGATATTTTTACTAATTATTATTACTATGTTTATTAATTTAATTTTTAATTTATAGAAAAAGTATGAGAATGCATTCAATTAAGTAATAATATAACCTTAGACTTAAATCTTAACGTTAAATTTTTTTATTTAAAGTTTATATGAGTCAACACGAATACGAACACACCTGCGCAAGTAGCCTAGCAGTGTGGAGTTAAACCCAGACAAACCATAAACCCGGACATCAGGGGTTTGACTCTTGCTAGTGTCTCTCAGACTTAACTGATACCTGTGGTTTGCGGGTAATTGTAGCTATCCGGGATTTATGCTCGCAAGAAAGGGTTCAAAGTGGCCTTACCTTGGAGATGTTCCACAATATAAACAAAAAGCATGAATGCGAACACGAACATGATACGAAAATAAATAGGTTAGCCTAATTTTATCCAGGGGTAATATGAGTATTAAAGTATAAAAAGTTGATGATGTAATCACTTTTTTGACATTGCCAATAACAATGCTAACTATAAGGATACTTTGTGAAATGGATAGGTAACGAGTAAGAGATGTCAGTATAATTTCAAAAAATTGAGGGGTGTCTCTGTAATTAGACTAATCTGCAGGGATGTCAGTATGATTTACCCTAAACTTTATAAGCTGTACTAAAATTTTTTTTTTAATAAAAATAAATATCGTAGTATATTTTTAAGTAAAACTTGAATTCTTTAGAATTTTAAGATATTTGATAATATAAATTATAGAGTAGTATATTAAATCTTATTCCAGTTGACCTAACTTATTTTTAATTGCAGTAAAGTTTCAATGTGATTAGTATATTAACAATTACTTTTATTTTATTCAATAAATTATAATTGAAATCCTAATCAAATGAATTTCAAAAAATTTAATTTCTCAAACATCACTAAAAAAATAAATCTTAATCACAAAATTCTAAAAATATAGGACTTTAACTATTTTTCTTTATTTTTTATAGTTAAAACAAAGAATTTTGGGAATATATAAAATTTTCATATTCTTATAATAGAATATGAGCAATAAAAAATTAAAATTTATAAATTTGAGATGATATTTAATTCAGATACATATATACCTAATATATTTTATTAATTTTTGTGTACGAAAATTATTCACGTGCAACGCATGTAGTGCATTTCTAGTAATTACCAAAAGTTTACTTTAAATTTTTTAACTCTCCCCCTTAAAGTGAACTTTTAGAAATAAGTTCAAGCTCCGCATGAATATTCTCAAATGATCCCGTGGAGAGAGACTTTGTGAAGATATCTACAATGTTGTCCTTGCTCCGCACCTCCGATACTTTAATTGTTCCATCAA